CTGATTACCCACAATATTTAATGAATACTTAATAGAGAAACATTTTTACTAAGAGCTTCTGCTATTGCCTTTACACCACAAGAGAAGAATTTGTCAACTATCTCAAATCGTTCTTTGGTAGATATTATTAAGAATGAATACAAGTTTGAGGAGATTCTGAAGCATGAATTGTCATGTATTTATTATGTATAAAGTATTCATCTACTTCAAAATGAGCCGATCACATAAGGTGAGTTGGTATTTTTCGTAAGGTTATAAATAGATACATCATAATAATTATTTTTTGAATTTTAGGGTTAAACGGTGTTTAGTTAGTGCATCGCGAGCTGATGTGACTTGAGATAACATTCTTGAATTGCTGTATAGCGAAACGGGTCGTCTCGCACCGTACGTACGTACGTACATACGTATGTTGGAGAAAAGATCGTCGTCGAAGTGGCTCGGGTCAGTTTATTTGAACAAGTCGAAATCTGCTAATATGGCAGATACAGCAAATACAACAGAAAGGGTACAAATGTAAAAATGGTTGATATGGAATATAAAGTAAGTATATTAGAAATATTTATTAATAATAAAAATTTGTATAAAGATCTAATGTATCTGTGAAAAATAAAGTAATTCATCTTCAAGCTCTGAAATCCTTTTGAACAAATTGTTATTGTATTTTGTTCGTAATATTTTAGTATATTTTTATTAACATATCTCGGTAAAAAATATTCCGGATACTAATATTAAATTTGAAGTATTTTCCTTTCCTGGTTTTGCGCGATGACTTCGCGCAGCTACCTTATTGTTTATTTTTATTTAGGAATCGCATATACAAACATGTAAAGAAATGCCTCTATACTTCTGCCAGAAAGTTTGATTTTCTCTGCAATCTCACCTGAGGATGGAGCTATTACTACCTTATACTGAGCCACAAGTCCAGAAATCGAAGAGAAAAATTACCGTGGAAAGTATTTTGAACCATTTGGTAAAGAAAGCGAACTAACTTCATATGCTTATGATGATGAATTGGCTAAAAAAAAAACTCTGGGAATTTACTGAGAATCTAATATATGAAAAATTACCATAAAATTGATCAATTTATTCATTTATTATGTATTGTTAACATCCATATTTGATAAAATAGATAGACATTTTCTGTTTTAAATATGAAATAACTAGATAAATATCATGCAATCTGTCATTACGATAAATTACAGTAAATACGTGTAACAGATATCCAATGAATTTTAGAGGAAATTTAGGTTTAAAAATAAAATGCTTTCTAATTCACACTATGCAATTTGCAACATTTTAAAATTCTTGTGCACTTTCTCGAATAATTTCCTGCATGTATATTGAATAAAAGCGATTATATGCTTTAGAATCGATTCTGAAATTGATTCTGTAATCGATTCTATAATCGATTCTGTAATCGATTATATAAATGATTATAATGATTAGACGAAATGTAAATCGATTCAAACGATTATCATAGAGTTGATTTAAAACTCTAAATCAAAATTATATTGCATTTCCAAATCTCCCAAAATATAAATTTCTAGTCGAGTGGTATTTGAGCGGTTAGATATAAAAATAATCTACCTTATTGCTAACGAAATTCTACGTAAATAATTCAAAACAAATTTAGTTATTAAAAATCCATATTACCTTATATGCAAAGTTACATTTGAATATTATCTACTAAAAGTGATACCGTAATAAATTTAATACATTGTAAAAGTTCGATTTCTCATAGAAGACTCGGTCACAAAAGAGTACAGAACATGATTGTGTATTCTGTGCGCATTATACCATGAGATCATTGTGCAATTTGTATCAATAAAGTAGCAGAAAATACAAATTAATCAATAGTGCCAATTAAAAGGTAATTTTTTGTATCACTTGGACGGACAGTAAACGACCTATTCTGCTCCTAATATCTTTAAGGCATTTATCCGTATTTTAACCCATTCAAAATGACAGAGTTACCGAATGAATTCATTGAAGATATCTTAGAAATTATCCTAAACACTTGTTTTTGTCTTCTTGCAAACTGTAACTGTGAAGAATTATTGAATATTTCCAATATTGTGGAGCGAACCATTAAAGTACTACGAAGATGGAAGAATTACAATTTATACTTTTTATTATTAAATGCTGATCCAAATAATTCAAAACTCTTATTTGAATATACATCTTATCGCTACATATGTTATTGGTTATAATTTATAAGAAGGAACCATGAATTATCTTTACCATGAGGAATATGAATTTTATATGATCAGCATTATATAATACGTGTTAAATATTCGAATACAGTTAATATTCTTTAATTAAAATGTTAGCACGAACAAGTAAAAAAATCAAGTATTTGTATCT